TCTTCGACTACATTAGCACTTGTAAAATTTTCATAAAACGGTTTAGCGTCTGAAGGAATTAGATGTAAATAGCTTTTAATATCGTTAATTTTATCCTCTGACAGGGGTTTACCATTGGGCCAGAGTTGCATAAGCAGCGCCGAAAAGCTCTCTGTATTTAATCGTCCTCGTCGCTCAATATCCAAACATACACTTTCATCGCCAAAATAACTAGGTTTCATAAAGATGTGGTAAGGATTTTCTTTTGTTAATATAATTTGTTTTGTCTCCAACCAATTTATTTTTTCTTTATTGGTGCCAACTTTTCTGTTTATTGTGGCCTTCTCGAGCTGGTGGGTACTCAAAAACCATTCCTTTTTCATTTGTGTAGCTGTTATTGGAGACTTTTTACGACATGAATTTATTATATTTATATAGTCTAAAGGTGTATATATTCGTTCTTGACGTTTGAGTTGACATTCTATATCCCCAAAATCTTTATCATTTGGTAGAAAACTATGGCCGGAAATCAGGAATTTAAATGTTATAGTTTTTATATTATGGCTGGTTTGAAGAAGACTGGCCATGAGGAGTGTTATTTTAATATTACGGTTCTGGCCTCCACAAGAATCAGACCACAATATAAGATGTTCAACAGTACTTTCTATGTTTTCTAAATATTTTACAATACAGGAACCAACCTCCTGAGCTCCTCTTCCAGCAGTTCCTTCAAGCCATACATAGGAATAACTCTTATTACGTTTGCCTGAAAATACACCGAGATTATACAAGCAAACTTGCCTCTTATAATATATTACATTGGTTGGAATTTTGGGTAAAGGTAGAGTTTTTTGAAGATCGTATGTTAAACACTCTACATTATCCTCATCTTTAGCTCGTTTTAAATCTGCCTTTAATGTTTCTCGTGATTTTTGGGCCAAATCCTGATGAGTGTCGAGTTCAATTTGTAAAAGTTGCTTTTTATGATCATCCGTTTCATTTTGTAGTTTTATTTTAAATGAATCACATACCTGGCATGTGTCCTTCTTGGGAACATTAAATCTCAAATTAAATTTTTCGTAAAAAATCCTCTTATAAATACCAAATTTCACAGGGTTTTGAACTTCAGATTTGTATAGATCATAAATCTTTAATAATGAGAGATGTGCCGGTAAAAATAATGCAGACGTGTTTTCACGACAGTAGTGCGATATGTACTTAGGCAGTTTATTGATCTGGTTGATTATTTCCTGAATTTTATTTTCAGGGACTTTGTTTAAACCACCTTGTTTTCTACCTCTTTGATCAAGAATTGGAGCACGATTGTTTACCTTTCTCAGAGCTGTTGTTACTCTTGACGGAGTTATTCTAAGACTATTGATAAACATTTGCCTATAAGTAAGGAATATTGTCTGGAATACAGACGTCTTTCAGTGTTTCTTCCATACATTCTTTTTTTCGGCATTTCGTGGATATTATTGGCAATAAAGATAGTTTGGGCATTATAAGACCCAAGACTCCAAAAACGATCAAATTCTTGTTTTCGTGACTCTGTAGAAATCAACTCAGAACATTTCATCGGGCAGTTACAATTGTAGTCATATTGAAATTCTTTAGCAGCTTTCAATTTTCCTTTGTAGTCAATGTAAGATTCATTTTTGTTCCTATTAATCTTTGATGTTGCTCGCGTCATTGCAAATTTCTTTTTTCTACCCTTCTTTGGACGACCTGATGTACTGGCTAAAAATGGATTATCATCACAACTTTCATTGTTATCGGAACTCTCTTCATGTGACGATGGTATAAACATATCAGAGGAACCGCTACTAAAGACATCACTTATTGACATATTCTGTAAGAATAAAAAGGTAGGTATTATTAGATAATATTTTAAATAAAAATTTCAAAAAATTATAGAAAGCGTCTATTTTAATTAAAGAAGTTAACTTTTAATCAATTACCAGGTACCAAAAAATAAAACAAATTCAATTCATTCAAATTAATCTTTTTCATAAAGTTTACTATAGGTACTCATCGAAAAATAATTTTCATATGCTTTACATTATTGTATAATTACTTTAATCAATAATAATTGATGATCATAATAATAGGTATCAATTTAACATTGGTATAATAAGATTAATACATATGTGTTTACAAAATTGTGTGTACCTAAGGAAGTTGTATTTTTTCTTTTAGATTGTAACAATAGGTACATCAAAGTTTAGTTTTCATTAAATAGAAATAATATAGCGAATAGCATTATAAAGCATTTTACTAAACAGTATAGGTACAAAGATTTAATACTTACATCATAATCATCAACAGAATCTATGGTAGAAGCTGATTCAAAACATCCAGTTTTCTCGTTTAAAACCATTTCACGAATACGACTATTGGATGACGATGGTTCGCTGTGACGGTAGAATTCTGTCACATTGGTATCATCCATATTCTACAATATATTTAAATTATGTAATGATGTATAAAATGCATTTATTTTAAAAATTTAGTAAACAACATAAACTTTTAGAAGCCGTGTCTTATAAACTGATTATTTTTTCGTGATTTTCGGCCAGATTAAAGAAATACCACAAAACTCTATTTTCTTCTATTTTCTTTATTTTTTTTTTAAGATTTAGTAACAAAATAAATTGAAACGTCGTAAAAAAAAAGAGAGTTTTGTGTTATTTCTTCAATCTGGCCGAAAACCACGAAAAAATAATCAGTAAACAACATATAGTTATTTTTTAATAAAAAATTTCCGACTTACCTCAACATTGGTAATATTTGAATCAAATTCCACGCTAGACATTACACTATTTGTTTGGTTTTCCATAAGTTTTGCTAGCTCACACATGTATTTGCTTCTTTTCGACATAATTATTATTAAATAAGTATTTTTAAACCCGAACAGTCAGAAAAATCAGACACAACTGAATAAAAAGAAATGTTTATCAATACATAGGCACATTTACTTAAAACTAAAGGAAAGTGATTACTATGCTTAAGATGAGTACCTATAATAAATTAATTTTTATCGACCAAGTTCCAGGGTTTATACGCACAAGGCACGTTTTAAACATTAATAGGGCACATTCCCGTAATAAAATTTTATTATCGACCGAAATTGAAGATTCAAACTACTTTTAACATATTAATGAAATAGTAAACGTAAAATGATACCAAGTGGTTTGGACGATTTCTGATTATACTCTTATTTTTAACAAGTATACCGAAATTTATAAGTAGAAAACATCCAATTCACTTGGATGTTTTTAACACAAAAAAATGCACAGTAGTTTTGTTATCGCATGGAGCGTTAAAGTGATCCAACCCACTTAGCCTGTTTTAACCACTC